CGGGCGGGCAGCGCGGCCGGGAGAGTTCGGAACTGCCGCTGCCCGCCGGCTGGGAGGAGGCGAGGGACTTCGACGGGCGCGTCTTCTACATCGACCACAACACCCGGCAGACCTCGTGGATCGACCCCCGCGACAGGTAGGGCGGCGGGGAAGCGCGGCAGGCGGAGGGGCCCGCGGCGGGGCGAGCTCCGGGGAACGAGGGCCCGGCCCGGACGCTGAGCTCCGGCCGCGGGGAGCCGCCCGGCGCCGGCCCGAGCCCGCTGCGGGGCTGTGGTCCGCTGTCCGGGTGCGGGCAGGCGGGTGGGGGCCGTCCCGATCCCCGTCCCGCGCCCCACCGGGCCCCGCCGCCCGCTCCGCTGCCGGCTGCGGCCCTCGGCCCCGGGGCGCCTCGCGCCGGGTGGCGGGGTGGGGTGCGCGGCCTCCGGCTCCGAGTAAAGCTACGGGGGCACGATGAGGGCTGCGGTGGGCGTGCGGCCCCAGCCCGGCCGAGGGACGGGAGAGGTGCGGGCCGGGACGGAGTGCCGTGTTTTTGTTTTTCGGACGCTGGAATTGGAACTGGAATTGCCGCATTGTAACCGGGTGGTTCGTCCGTATTGATTTATTAGCTGGCTGGAATTAATTGGAGGCAGCTTGAGGCGCAGCGCAGTAATTTGGTAGATTACCTTCTCGTAAAAGATATCGCTGTGTAGAGGTAAGCGAACCGGTGCATTCCTTCCCTCAGTTTGACAAATACACGGCCTGCTACAAATTGCTGTCTGCTGCGTTCCAGGACAGTGTTCTGCCGTCTCCCAGACCTGGGGCACGCGATAGGGTCGGGTTGGCCTCTTCATTTCCATTACGGTCAGTCCGTATTGCCGGGTTTTGATGGGGTTGTGCTCAGCCGATAAAGAATGTGCTACGGCTTAAAACCTGTGGGAGTGTGGAAACGTCTGCTGCAGCGGGGCCGTCTGGTAAATACAGCCTCACTTGAAAGCCTTCGCCTAAAAATTTCCACGTCGAGTTACTGAACACAAGTGTCAGTATTCAAGGTGTCTGCAAAATAAGAAACATATGTCTCTGTGTATGCTTTTCTATATTAAACAATGTTTTTATAGTAAGTGAAAGTTGGACAAGGACAGTTTGAACCTCGGCCAGAGCTACCTTGCCAGAGCTATGCCTGGAATGTTAAGCAGGCCACAGAAACATTTAAGCGCAGCCTGGTTAAAGGCTGCAGCAATTTCAGCAATCCTCGCTCTCGCACAATGATACATAACAGTTCAAATAGCCTAAATATTTACCGATGGGATCAAGATCTTTTGTCTCTTTGTTTAGACATACTTATGCATGCACATATGTTTTGCTGATGTATTAAATACTTGCTGGTTGGCTTTTGATAGCGCATTTTTTACGACCTACCTGTAGTTTCTAGTGTTCAGTTACTTGTGATACTCTGTTCTGAGGGAAACTAATAACATAACAGACTGTGGCTTCTCTGCATTCCATGCCTGCCATTGCATTTTGGGGGATAGTTTTGTCTCTTGCAATTTCTCACATATGGATAACAAAAAGTTTTAGCAATTCGCTGCAGTGTTTGAAGGCAGTTAGAAAGTAGCACCGTTCAACTTAAATGGCATTGTTAAACTTATAACTTGAAAAAATAATTGAAACTCCATACAGTGCTTGAAAATTTTTCGAAATACTTTGCAGTGGTGTTTGTTAAACAAAGCTGTTTTTCACACTGGGCAAGAATAGGCTGCAGAAATGTGATTGAGACACCTGCACTGGGGCATGTAGAAAAGACAGTTTTTGACAAATGAGCATCAGTAGTTCCTCTAGAATTCAAGTAGCAGAAGCTGGTTTTAGTCTTGCAAAGTTGATCTCCTATTGTGAATAGGCTTCTATTGGTGCTGTGGTGAGGTGTCTCTTCTGTATAGGAGAAGGTGGCCACAGTCTTTTGGTTTTCATTGCAGCCGTTCAGATTCCTGGGGGCAGCAGCGAAGTAGGGATGGATCAGGTTAGTTGTGTTCTGCCAAAGTTTTGGAAGGAAAGGTAAAAGCATCAGGGAAATGGTACTAAAGTTGTTTTTTTGTTTGTTCCTTCAAAAAGAACTTGAAAAAGTGAGGGATAGGATGACATGCTTGTATTGTATCTCAACATTCTCTGTTTGGTAATTGGATGCCTTGTTTCTGTGTTCATGGAACTCTTTCTTTTCTATCCAGGAGGAACTGGGCAGAACTATGGGACCTCAGGCCATGGTATGCACATGATCAGGGCTCTGCGAATCAGCACCTCCTAGCTTTCCTATGGGCAGTAATCCTATAAGCATCCCCACAGGCTCTTCTTTCCCTGTAGCAAACTTAGTATTTGTTTTTCTTTTCAGCATTCCCTTTGAGATTTCTCAGCCTTTTGTATAGTTAGACTAGTGCACTTAATATGAAACAGTGATTTAAGAAAAAAAAAAAGCCCTAATCAAGCAAAGAGGAGAAGGAAGTACTAATTGGAGCAGTTAACGAAGGAGAATTGTGCTGTGTGAAGGATTTGGGGGTAGAGAGTAGAAAGGGTTAAAGAATGCAGGAGTGGATGCTGTGTGGTTTTTGTAGGGTAAGAAAAAGTGGAATAAATGAATAAAGAAAAGGGAGGATGGCAGAAGAGTGTTAAGATGAGCAGATTTGAAAAGCTGCTTATCTTTGGTATCAAATCTGTGGTTAGGTTGATGGAGATTGTTGTGTTGATCTGTATAGATTGCTGGGTGCTTGTCTGGCAGATCCTGTAGATCTTAACCTGGAACTGTTCAGTGCATACTTTCCTCTTGTTATAACAGTCTTTAATCTTAATAGATTGCAAGTTCTTCAAGGTGGCGAATGACCTTTTTATCTCTTGTTTGCACAGCACTTGGTATATTGAGATGTAGGTCAATAACTGAGGGTTGTAAATGTTCTTATAAAAGACTGACTACATTTGTGGTTGATACTGATGATCCCGGTGGCACCACATCTTACTACAGTTGTTGTTTGTTATAAGGCTGTGCAGCAAAGGTGTTCTGTGCTGAGAGGCAGTGTTATTTTTTTCAGAATAGCACTAGGGAAGGTAAATTGTTTCTTTCAGCTATTTGATGTGAGTTGTCTTGTTTGTCTGTTTATTTGAAGATTTACATGCTTTGGAAAGAGAGCTTTAAACTTGTAAGGTAAAACAGTGTCTTTACATGGAGAAATCATCTGTTTGGGCCAGTTTGGAAGGCTTTGAAAAATTCGTATGAGTTGGGTAGGGACTTGGATTTTTAGCAACTACGTTTTGCAGAAGCTTCCTGCAAGCTGAACTGCTGATGTCTTAATTGAAACCAGGGAGCTTTTCTGTCCTGTGTCCTCAGCAATGATTTAATTCTGAGCCTTCAGATCTGCTTAGTTTGAACACAGGGGGAGGAACCTTGTCGAGGACATGAGTTGGAGCAAGAAGAATGGGAACAAGCAGGATTGGCCTTGGAATTTGACAGATGGAGAGATGTCTTTGTGGTAGGCTGAGGAGAGCAAAGCAATCTGGGGGGTAGGAAGAAGGCACCTGAAGCCTGGGAAGCAAAAAGTAGGGGAACTGGCCTGAAAACCAGTAGGACAGGGAAAAACAGGTAAGAGGAAACCGGTCTGGTGAGGGTTCAGGGTATGAGGGTGTCAGCTCTTTTCTTGGCTGTGCAGGGAACCCCGAGGGAAAAGGAGCATTGTAGTCTCAAGAATCAGAAAACGAGTGGAAAGAAGCCTGCAGAGTCTTGGTAGAGAGGAGAATTGGAAAGGGAAGTATAAGAACAAGGTGTGAAGTGTGAGGCAGGGATCCAGAGGTTCAAGATATGCTGGGCAAGGAGTCTGACAAAAAATCCAAGTTATGGAAAGTGGAAATAGCAGGAAAGGCTCACGGGCTTGAAAGGAGTCACCCTGAGGAAGTCCGTAAGCAGGGACGTGTTATCAGGGGTGAACTGCAGAAGAGCATAAGGAAGCGGTTAATGGACAGAAAAGTGCAGAAGTGCTGACTGTTTCTCCAAAGCTATTCCAGGGTTCCTCATTCTCATCATATATTTGCTGTATTACCCAGTTTGCTTCTTCTTTCTGTGAAGCAGGACAGAAGCTGCCACAGCTAACTACTCGCATAATCTGGCAATTAATGTTAACAGTAAGTGGCAAAGTGAGGTGTGATGCCGTGTGATGTGGTTTATCTTTCCCCAGCTTGGCTTTATGAAGGAATGGAGATTGCAAATGAGAAGCTTGAATCAAAAGATATTTATGCCAGATATTCAAAGCTGGAAAATTCCAGATTAAAGTTGCTAAACTATTATTGCTTTTGTATTAAGTGAGCATTTTTAGTGATAAACATCTACATACATTTTCTTGCCTTGCTTGACACGTGGAGAGGAGCAACTCTGAAGACAGATCAGGGCTGGGAAATGAAATAGGTTGGGAGGGATACTCAAACTTTTGCCACGACCGAAAGAAGTGCATGTCTAGTAAGACAAAGAATCTTCTGAAGCACCTGTGTGTGATAGTGTCAGAAAGGCAGTGAGCTCTTTCTAAAGGCAAGGGATTGTCTGCTGGACTGTTGCACTATATCTGTCCAGTCAGCAGTACTGGGCAGCCCACTGACAATCAGAAGAATCATTTAAATCAAGATTTTTCACAGACAGCGTTTTTCTAGGTTGGGCTTCAACTCCTCCACCATGAGTTACACTAGTGTCATTTTCATTCATAGAATGATAGAGTACTCCAAGTTGAAAGGGTCCCATACAGATCATCAAGTCCAACTTTTGGATCCGCACAAGACCACCCAGAAATCAGACCATAGAGATGAAGACAAGCAACACAGATAGTACCACTGCCATGTTGGAAATTATCCTGTGCTTTCCTATGTGCTTTGAGAGTTCTCTCGACCACTTCCTTTTTATTGTATTTTAATTGTCACCTGTGTTAGCTCATATTTTTGTTTTGAACTGATGCTATTTGTGGAATGGGAAGAAAGCTGAGTGTTGATCAGACAAATTTAGGTCACGTGCTTTCTTTGTGCGATGCAGAGTGTTCACATCAAAAAGTGATTTTTTACAGGGTGCAGACAAGTACTTTTTAAAATGATGCTTGAAAATGATTAAAGGGAAGCAGGTTGCAATTAGTTAAATTTACTCTC